ATAGATTAGATGATATAGTAGAGATATGAATGAAGGCTGTGTCCTTGATCCCGTTTCTTGATAATTCTTTTCCCAGGAAATTAACAGTAGATTTAGACGTGTCGCTGCTTGCTTTGTCTTAATGCAGTTCTACTGGTTGATAGCACTGTGTGTAAATAGAATTTATTTTACATTCGAAAACTGGGCATAAAATATGTTTTTGATAATATGTGGAGTTGATCTTAACAGCTTTTTCTATTCTCTTCATTTCTAATTTACCGCTGTATAAGAAACCAGTAGCAATCATAGATCCCTTAGTTAAATTTTCTTTTGATTCCTTGAACCAAGTTGTAGGATTTTTTTTCCTTTTTGATAATAATAAATGGCTCTCTTCTTATTTCAGTCATTTAAATTATTCAGTACACCCAAGATTCGTGTATTGTGACAACATTTTTCCGTTTTTGTCCTCACAAATGCTTCTCATGAAGAATTTTACAGTGCGTCCTGCGTTCGACGAAAAGTCGTAGATAATGACGAAACACATTACGTTTTTTCGCATTTTTAAGATTTAAATCAGCATTAATCACTTTGTTTACAGTTGGCACTTAACATTTTAATGATATTGCGGCTATTCTTTGAGCTGATGGATTTTCTTTTAATATTAAAGGTTTTACTTTTGCAACATTCGAAACAGTCACACTTTTTTTTTGGGGGGGGGATACGCATTTGGAACAATTTTTCCACTTGAAGCTAAATTTTGACTTCTTCTTTTTTTTTTTTTTTCCATTTGTTTTTGTCATTACCTATCGTAGCATTAGAAGTCGAAAAAATACGGCCTTGACAAACATTTAAATAACTAGGTACGAATAATTTTGTACGGAAAGAACATAAACAGAACCTTCCATCCATTGCTTCTTTAAAAGTGCTACTTTGTATGAAAATAAAAATATCAAGTAGCAGATGATAATTTGTACTTTCGAGAAAATAATTACAATTAAAAAAATTCCAAACGGAAGATTTTTTTTGAGACAGACCATAAACTTTATACAGAATTGCAAATACTAATAACTTTTCACTGCTACCTTGTTGAAAATTCTACAGTGATAAGAAATTAATTAAGAACCCTTTTATTAAAACTTACGTCATAATGCCAATGATCCATGTTATAAAAAGCTGCCAATGGCCATTAGTAATGTTACTGATTAAATTATAGTTTACTGTGTACTTATCTGTATTTATACTTGCAAAATGTGTATGTGCTCCATTTTTATGGTTTTATGATTTTTTATAAGGTATTTTCCTAATATTTGCACACTTGGGTCTCCCACTTGTTTATGATAAACCTCAGAATCGAAACAAAACATACAAAGCATTTTATAATTTGAATAAATGCTTATTTTAGTCTTACAAAAAAAAAAAAGCATATTTAATTTTTTTTATAACTTCTATACTTATTTGCTACATTGTAGAGACATTAGGTATTTTTTGAAAGCAGAGGAGATGAAAAATGAGCAAGCCCTCGCCGGGACATGAACTACGGACCTCTCGAATACGCGCCGAGCGTGCTGATCATTACACAACGAAGGCATGCTAAGAAGGTGGAATAAATACCTTATATACTCCTCCTTTTAAAGGGCGACCGGGGATTAGGGGACCCAATCGCCAAATCCTGTTAGTGAATAATCATCGTTCATCATCTTTTTCAGTTTGGGCGTCACTGTAGAGACATTAGGTTATTTCGAAGCAGGAGAGATGAATTATGAGCAGTATCCTCGCGGGACTCGAACCACGGACCTCTCGAATACGCATTGAGTATGCTGAACAACTAACACTGTTCCATCGTCACGAACGGCTTTATTTTTTCGAACGATAAATCCGTCATCGAAATGCTAGTTGCATACATTACTATCACGCCTTGCTGATAAACAAGGCAAAAGCCTGAAAGCTCTCAGATTTTACGTTAGGTCCAAAGGGGCGTTTTTTTAACGTTTCCTCTGTTACCTTTATTTATTAAATATCATGTTCTTTGCAGTTAAACAATAAAATTCAATTCAACAGCAGTATCGCAAATTAATTTTAAAATGAGCATATCTTTAGAATTTCCGATACACAGTTGCGTGCAATGGAGATAAAAATGTCCCCCTTCTACCGTACAGTGAAGAGTCGTAGCTAGGGTTTTCAGCGCCCAGGGACAACTGAAGATTTCGCGCCCCCTACTGCTTGCCAAGGATGGAAAACATTTAATTCTAAAATCTCGTAACATCAGTGTGGCGCCCTTTGGATTCTGCGCCAGGGGACAGATGCCCCCTTGCCCCCCTCTAGCTACGCCCCTGGTACAGTGTACCCATTGCTCGCTTTGAAATCGTTGAGTTTCTCAATCAAAATTTCGTTAAAGTGTTACAAAATATAAAATCGATAGTAAAACAAATTTCAAATTCCAAATTTGGGTTTGTTTCCAAATGCCCATATTCGAGGAAGATTACGTTATTCAAAATTTGATGGCTCTAGTACCGTTGTTTTATCACAATGTGACAAAGATACATACATTTATGCAGATTCTTCATTATTTAATTTCTTTAATATAACACGGGTCGATAATATTTGATATCAACAATTGGAAAAGTGATTTAAACTTTTAAAGTTTTCGACGCAAAATGCCAAAAGTAAATTAAGAGCTCTTCTGAGCTAACTCTCCTGTGGGTTAATAAGGTTGCTGACAGACAAACCGACAAAGTAGATAGATGTCTTGTTTTGCACCCGCTAAGTCTTTCTGCACCGATGGGTGAAATATCAAGCATAGGTGCGAAGGAAAGGTATATAGAAAGGGGGGAAATTTCGTATTTGAGGAGAATAAAAAGAAACTTCGTACATTTTGTATGAGTTCAAAAGGCCAGGAAGAAAAGATGGGACAAAATAAAATTTAAAATAAATGGCTCAAAAATAATAGAGGAAAAAAAAAAGGGCCTATAGAAAGAAAAGGAAAAAAAGTAGAAAATATCCTAACATACGATTGTGTCCATGAGTGTAGTTAAAAGGAGAAGAATCTGTCTTCATTTACAATAAATAGTGTCTCACAGGTGTGTGTGGTGAGTGTTTATGGTAGTGGTAAATAGATGTGTTACTGGAATATATATATATATATATATATATAATCAATACTGTTTAGGAAATAAATTATTATAATATATATATATATATTATATATTGATTGACGGTGTTAAAATGCTTCGTATCAAGGTATTTAGCATGGAATACAAAGTAATATGTATGCTTGTATCCTGAGATATCAACAAAAGTCATCAAACAAAAGTATATATTAATTTAACTAAAGTAACTTATGCTATTTTCGTTCCCAACATTTTCATACATTTTTCAAAAAACAGCGGCAAACAAACAACATAGAACCATATGCAATACAAGACCACGACCGCACACACCAATATATATATATATATATATTTATATATATTTATATATACGTGTGTGTGTGTGTGTGTAAATTACTGAGTATATGTATTAAAAGCACAAATTAAACATAGTATTTATTAATTTAACTATCATAATTTATTACTAGTTAATTAATGTTATTATAACACAATGAGGCACACTGTTATTCATATAAGCTCATAGTTCTAAGAATTTATTTAAGGCAGTGAGGAATAAACCATCCCTTACATATGGACATTTAACAGATAGCAAGGAACAGTATGAGAAAAAATCGGTAAGGTATAATGTTATTTAAAGGCAAAAATATATTTAAGCGGACTAAAAAAAAAAAAAAAAAAAAAAAAAAGAATCCAGAAGATCCGAGAGAGAAATAGCGCGTTGCCCCCAATGGTTGCTGGTTTCTTTAAAGAAAAACATAGAGGTTATTGTTACAGCTAACAAAAAACAGCTAACTATTGATATATTTGCATTCCAACACTCAATTTTCAGAATTATATATTTATATATAAGAAGCTATTGCAATCTAGAATAACAAGGTAAGGGACCTTGTACCCAATCAGTAACCTTGTAGGAAATCAATTAAACCTAAGATATAAACACAATAGCTCTACAACTTATAGAATTATTAACTTATAGATAATTTTCAATGTTTATCACTCACGTTTTTGGTCTTTGATGGCCGAAAGTAGAAATAATTGTCTTACGATTATCAGTATTAGAAGGATAGTTTTAAAAATAGGTCCTGTTATGCAGGGCTCGCTACAGATTATTTAGAATTAGGTCATACAGTTTCGCAGTTTTTTGGATTTCTGTCATATGTGCTTAATATAGTTCATAGCTTAGAAGCTGCGTCATTGAAAATTTCATATCTGGTATAAAAAATGAGGCCCAGAATATCGCGCATCTCAAGTTATATTTTTGTGTACACGAATTCTATACGGCCTGCAGCTTTCAAAGTCAGATTTATGTGGCTTAACAACAACATAACACTGATTGCATTTGCGCATCAAGTAAGAATATTCATTACTGAATCAATTTATATGATTGCAGTGCTTAAAGTACTTCTAAATATAGTTAATCCAAATTTTTTATACAAAATAATTTTTCATAGTGACTGATCTCAGCTTTGCTCTCCAGGATTATTTTATCAGAGAACGACGAGAAGCTGATACCTTATGAAACAAAAATATTCTACAAAAATGTATTAACAAAGAAAGCGAAAGATTAGCACAGAATAAACCGGGATAGATGCACAAGAAAGTTTACAATTCTATCTTGAGATCCGTCATTTATATCGGACACCCATAGCTGAACTATCCCATTCAATCGACAATCATTTGTTAGTTCATGCACTGAAGTCTGGACATTGAACCTTCATTAACAGTGCTTAGTTTTGATTTCCGACTCTTATAAGACACGAAACTGTACACACAGTATAAATTATTCAATCTTATTTTTTTCTTATTGCTATTTCACAATTGCATAAGATAGATGCAGAGTTTCATTATTGCTTTGCAAATCTGGAGTTGGAGAATAACATAAACAGCGACATCTATTGACATACATTCCTAATTTTTCAGAACGTAAGGAAGATTCTGTACTGTAATTTAAGGAAACAATCTCGCATTTCTATTATTTATATATGTTTGTTTTGTTTTACTTACTGTCTTTTTAAGGGATCAACTTTGTCTTTGATTCCATAGTTTGTTAATAATTCAGATTTCTAATGGATAAACACAGAGGTAAGTTATGTAGTCGAACTGTATTTCTCTTTTCCAAGATACAGATGTATCGATCGACTTTCTCGGCATGCTAGTTATGCCAACTCTGTTAATGGCGTCACTGACTCTGCGTGTCAATTTAAAGTTATAGTTTTATTTAAAAATATTTCATTAATTAAACCGCATGAAGTAACCTACTTATCATATACGATTACTTGTTCAGTTAGGTACGTCTTATAAACATTTGTGCTATATTTATCACTGTATGAAGGTCATAAACTGTAGTCAACTGAGCCGAGATATGCAAACAATATTTTACATCTGTTATTGTACTTTGTTTATTATATTCAAGTAATCTAATAAGAGATTTTTAATATTATTTCGTAAGTCAAGATAATTTATGTCTCCCATAAAGTAATATTTATGCAAGCGTTTTCAAAAGTGCATCTCATAAATTGGGGATGATGTATATGACATATAAAAACATTTTTAATGTTATGATTTATTCTTTTGCACTTAAGTGCACTTAATAAAATTAACAATATCCGTATATTGTTATGGAATTAAATGAGCGTAAAGTGAAAGAAGATTACTCAAATACGTGAAAATAAAATTTGTAGGTCAGTGTTTTTATGTATCATCTCATGAGTGTTCAGATAAATTGGATATTCTGTGAAAACTAATGACATATTTCTTCTTTTTATTTTTCAGTATCATTACTATGGAGAAATAGCTAATAGGAATTAAGTTTTAATTGTGCATTTTGTGCGCGATTCAAGATTGCTTATTGAATATTGGATTATATTTGACCGCTTGGAATCCTTATCCTGGCTTGCTGGTAAACTATGAAAATGGTTTTATCTCAGCGCCAAAGGGATGAGCTGTAAGTATTTATTTTTTATGACTGATACTTCATGTAAATGAAGGACTATGTATAAAGTAGATTGGAATATTCTTTCCATTTGTATAATTTATTATCACCATGGATTTATGTAAGACCGCTTTGTATTTTAGATATTTCACTTGGAAAAGATTTAAAACTAGACTATGAATAATATAAAAGAAGATCTTAGAAAATTTATTTCAAGAAATTGAAATCTTTGAAGTGATAATTAGTATTATGTGAATTTCTTGTTTGTATCATAATTAAACCAAACAGTAATCTTAAATTGGATTATAAATGGCATTCTAAAAGATATAAAATTGTGAAACACATGGAATCTTTTTAGTACAGTAACACATTTAATATATCCAAAAATTGTTAAATAGTAAAATGTTATGAAATAAAAAGCTGATACAAATGTTATTACACAAGACCAATTTAATGTATTTTTAGATGAAAGTTCTTTTTGTATGTAAATATTTCAGTATTACCTTTGAGATAGCATTAAAGCATTAGCAGAGATCAATTTTAACCTTAATTTGTGTGAAACTAAGGTATATAGATAATTAGTGAATAGTAAAAATTGTGTCTGAAACACACTGCAGGGGTATACATGCATAATGGGATGTATATGCAAAGGAATTTTTTTAGTAAAAAGTTTCTGCATTGAAGATAGTGATCATCATTTTGATGTTTTTTATTTTATGAACTGAGTAATTCTGTTAAAAAGAAAAAGGGACAACAACATTCTTCTTAAAAATGAATGTTGCAGTGATTTCTGTTGTAGAGTTTTCCTAAGCTAACATCTGATTTCTAATTCTCTGGATGAAAAATTTTTAAAGGAGAATTTTTAAAATCTAAAAAATGCTACTTAAAGTGAAGTACAATGATAATAATAATGCAGTCATATCTTTGACTTTTATTGTAAATGCTGTAAATATTTAGCTGCTGATTCTGATATAATTGATGCAGTTAGAATGTAGCATAAAAGGGTTGTTTTAAATTTAGATTAAGCTGCAAAACAAGTATAGATTATAAAATTCCCTCAGTAGGGAGAAGGGCATTCATTATTCTGAGATGAAAATTTAAATTTGGTTGATCTTTACATTACGGTAACTTGGCGATTTTTTGGCGAAACTTTGGCGACCAACTCCCCTACAGCAACCCTCTATTTTTTTTTCCCCGCCGCCATTTTGTCTTCACGAAGTAAAGACATGTTTCTTTTCTTCTGATCTACTGAACACTTCTTCCAACAATCTACTAGCCGAATTACCTTATGCTAGAAATTTTTATCAAACAAAACTGCTTAATCATGACAAATATTCACTGCAAAATTCGGAAAAAGTGCACAATACCATACACCTTACGCGTTTTTCAAAATAACACATACACATAAACCATGTAAACCCATGTACACGCCGACTTATTTTTACTTAAAAAACATCCCAGAATTGCACAAAAATGGCATTGCGCACACTCTTCACTATATCCATGTACACTGCTTTTTTTCTCATAAATTCGAAAAATTTCACGAAAATACATGACAATTTTCTCAATCTTTAAACCCGGTAAAAGAACATATATGAAATTACCTGATCGCGAAAAAGTATTTTACTATTTACAAATATGAACATTTCCACATATAAAATAAATAAAATATCCAAAAACTTTTACCTCTAAATCATCTATTACATTATACACGTCACCAACGAATTCATACATGAAGCATTACAAATATTTAGTATCAAATATTTAAATTATTTCCAGGCACGTTTATTTCAACTTAACGTAAACCAAATTCCTACAAGCATAAAATTCACAAATAACTATCATTTCATTAAAATATCACTGAACCATGTACACGTCGACTTATTTTTACTTAAAAAAACTCCCAGAATTGCACAAAAATGGCATTGCGCACACTCTTCACTATATCCATGTACAACTGCTTTTATCTCATAAATTAAAAAAATTTCACGAAAATACATGACAATTTTCTCAATCTTTAAACCCCGGTAAAAAGAACATATATGAAATTACCTGATCGCGAAAAAGTAATTTACCCTTTACAAATATGAACATTTCCACATATAAAATAATAAAATATCCAAAACTTTTACCTCTAAATCATCTATTACATTATACACGTCACCAACGAATTCATACATGAAGCATTACAAATATTTATTATCAAATATTTAAATTATTTCCATGCACATTTATTTCAACTTAAACATACACCAAATTCCTACAAGTATAAAATCACACAAATAACTATCATTTCATTAAAATATAATTAAATTCAAAAACACCACTTAAATATACATGAGCACATACATTCAATTAATAAAAATTACCTTACAATCCTAATTACTTTAAACTAAATCATTGCTAATAACAATTTTTCCCAATAATACCAAATTCCTTTCCACCTTACATTTCCAACAATGCATAAAAATAATTAAAAATACTAACTTACCTAATCTCCTTCAGAATCTTCATTACGTGGCGGATACACTTTTCTTCATTCTCTTTCAGAATCTTTAAAATCATACTTATCTTTCAAGTCAAAGAAAGATACCAGGTAAAATAAATAACATAATAAAACCTGTTTATTCTCTCTCTCACACAACCTTCAAAAACCTTTCTTACTATCCTTTTCAATACCACTAATACCCATTTCGAATTCACTTTCTTACGGCCCATGAGATCCAAAAATTCACAAACACTATTTCACACAACACAGAATAAAGCCAAATACAAAATTTCCAGATTTTTTCCCGATTTCCCCCCTTTTCCGATTAAAGAACCGTAATTCGTCCCTTAATACACATGACATATCCCATGATCTCTCATTTCCCTCACACAAAATAATGCGTAATCGGAACTCAGTACTGCTCACATTATTACCAAAGTCCCAGGTAGTAACCTTTATCGCCTCCAAAATGTCGCCAAACTACCAGTTACCGTAATGTAAAGATCAACCTTAAATTTTTTTATATCAGTTTTGGTAAAGACACTATTTTAAAATACAAATGTAGTCCTTCCTTTAAGTTAAAATTTATTAATTTAGAAATAAACTGTATTAAGAAGCACTAAAAATAGCAATATACATGATAGCTTACTGCAAATAATAAGCTTTCATGCTTTTAATACAAGCATTGAATTAATCGGATTATCAGTAAGTACATGTAAAGTCAAACTTTGATATGTGGAAACTGGCATGAGCAATGGTAAGAAAAATTTAAGTAATCAAAAATTGAAACTAAAGAAACTGATTGCAAATTAAATTGGGAAAAAAAAAAATCCTGTATGTAGTGATATGCCTATAAAAGTATTTAAGGAAATGGCACAGAAATTATTTCTCTAATAATGCAGTCAGTTCTTAATTAATGATAAACATTGAAATAATAAATGAAGGAAGTTATTTTTTAATTACATATTGATATTTAAAAAATGCCATGTAAGGTGCTTTTGGCATGTAATTACATGATTTTTTTTAGTAAACAGTTTAAGTTGATAATGAAAGTTAATAAAATATTTTCTTTATATTTAGAAATATTTCTTTTTCTATTAATGGCAGAAGTAAATGAAAATAATAGTCAAATATTCAACTTAATGGAGTCAAACTGACTCATTTCTGTTAAATTTTTTGTGATGCTTTGCTCTGATAATGCAAATCTATAATGCTTTATTTAATCCTCTCCGAGGTGGATTTGCTTATTTTATATCACTTCATGTAAAATTTTATTGTTATCTACTGCCAAAAAAGGTTACATTTTGCTTATTTCTTGTTGATCCATGTTAATTGCCTAGGGATACATGAAAATAACTCTGAATTCTTTTGAATTAGTTGACTTTTGAATAATTGCCATCAAATATATTTGCATAAATTAGCTGTAATTGGATAATTTTTATTGAGATGGTTATTATACAGTTATTCATGAAAACGTCATCGCAGATGAAAAGCATGTTCCTTTTCTTGGTAATTACACAATTGGAATAATATTTACTATCATACCTGAGGGAAATGCAAGATTAAGTTCAGATTGATGTCTGATATAAAAAACTGCTTTTGTTCATGCCACTCAAATATGTACAGGTTGCAACAGAAAGAACTTTGATTTGAGAGTAACATAGCTACAGTTCAGGAGGGGATACAGTGATCGGAAGCGTGCCATTGAATAGCAGTTTATGTATTATTTCAGAATAGATTGTAACTTGGTTAGAAGAACATCATGCTTTTTATTGTAGAGTAGTTTTTATTTACTATTGCAAATTGCTGATAGCAACACATTTTGGTTTTTGCATCCACCTTGAGCTCATTTGAAGAGATGCTGTTCCCCCCCTCTCCCAAAAATTGTCTATATAACTGTAAAAGCTCTGAAGAAGGCAATATAACAAGAAGTTGCTGCTTGCTGCCGTTATGCATAAAATGACTGTCTAAAGTATTACACAATTGTCAAGAAACTTTCAACCAGTGCATAAACAATGAAAGCCACCACCACATGGATGATGTTATGTATATATATGTGTGTGTGTGTAAGATATAATAAAATATGATGGCAACGATAAGAAATGATTGCCGACTTCAAAATTGACTATTCTAGATTTTATGTTCTTCCCCTAAGTTTATCTGTTCTCCCAAATTCGAAATCTTTCTAAGTTACATAATGCTTCTTGCAAAAACCTAAAAATTACAAATTGCAACTTAGCTGATATGCACCTACCTAGTATAAATAGCTACTAACTGCATAGTGGCTCTCTCTGTCTTTTGCCTCTTTCACCTGTCTGCTTACAGCGTGTCGCTCAGCCTCTGCTAGCTATTTGCCATTATTTAAAACATAATTGCATATCTAAAATTATGGGGCTCGTTTAGCACCTCTAGTCTTCTATCAGTTATGAAGATATGTGTTAAGAAATTTGTCATTCAAAAAGAAATGATCTATCAAGCTGGTTATGTTTCTAAAATTCCATAGAATCATTTTATTATGATGCAA